TTTTTGTCTCACATATTTTTGTCAATTTATCATACTTTGTAGCATTTTTATCAATTTGAAATTTATTTACATTTGGTAGCTTGTAAGTTGTAAGCACCCTTTTGTATTTGAAAATAAATATGTAAATGTTGAAATAGCGTCAGCTAACATAATGCTGCTCATTTACCCCAGCCATTTTCCATTCCAGGGAAGTTCCAAAGCTTGGGCAACTGCTTATTATGAGGCTTCTCTTTGTTGAGCAGCCAGTGCCAAAAGCTGTTACAACCTCCTGGGTCGATACAACACATGCAAAGTAAGGTTCTTGGTAGAACCTACCCACATTATTTTGTTTTTGTTTTTATGGACAAAATTGACAACTGTTTCATAATCTGCTTAAGTCTTTTTGATGTTGTTTTATATGATGCAAGCATACACTTTGAATTTTGAGGATGTTCAAATGATAAGTTAAAATGGAGAGTATGCAATATTTCTAGTCATTGTGCATGTGTACTGGCTATGCAAGGTAGGTTGTTAAATGTTGGAACCATTGATCATTTCAATGAATGCAGCAGTTAAACCATCCTCATTCTGTTACTGGTAATGACTTAGTAGGTTGTGTCCAGGATGGTGAATCTGTATTATGTAATGTAGTTACTTTTTACATTGCCTTTATGAGAAATCTACTTTGTCATTTTAATTGACCATTTAGGCAAACTCATGTATGACATTACATTGAGTGGCACCATCATTTTCAATTTCCCACCCTTAAATGCATACCATGGTATTCATCATAGATGCTATATAGCAAAACTGGCAGTTTTTACCAGGTCATGTTAAGATCAGCTCCCTTGGTCCTTAATTTCATCCCTCACCATCAGGAGCTCTGCTTTTTTAAGATCATTTTAAGTCAGTTTCCTCACTCCTCATTGCTGTGACTTATACTTGCTGCTCGTTGGCTATGACTGAATGTCCGCCATTTTGCATCTCTGCCACAGGGAGGTGACGGAGGTGGCCCAGACGCTGATCCAGCTCCGTATCTGGCACGAGGTCCAGCTGCCCGGAGGACTGCCCGGCTGGGTCCTCAATGACGTGTTCAGGAAGAACGTCCGCGTCTGCATGCTGGAAGGGTGAGATGGCGCGGCGAGCGGCATGCTGCGCTGACCTTACTTGACAGATGGACAGACAGACAGACATTGATAAGTGGGCCAACCTCCGTAGACATATGAAAGAATCTCCCAGACAGATGGAACAACACCTCTGACGGGCAGACGCCCTGGACAGTCGGAGCGATATCGCTGACTGACGAGCTTATATCCCGCACAGAGCTTACGATGTCCGTGACTAACGGACGGACACCCGTGACGGACGGGCGATATGCTCACATGAAAGACGGACATCCGTGCAGACGGACCGACATCCTAAGGGTCAAGCCAACATCCCACACAGAGGGACCGATATTCGTGATGGACATGCTGACATCCCGTTACGGACGTTCCGACACTCACATAAAATGGTAGACATTCCTGACATCCGGACCCGCTGATTTAGCATCCAGCGACATCACTCACTAGTTTGAGATCCCCATTGTCAAAGCCTGTCTACGTTGCGATCATAGCCGCCCATTCACCCATATTCAGCTAACGTTTGCGGCCGGAGTCGACAGTTCACTCATCAGTTATAAATCCTGAGGGACTCGTTAGATTGCAAAGTGCATTCCTACCGTATGCGGCTGATGTAACTGAACCTCTTCTCACTCGCTTCCGCAGCGGTGTAAGTCAGGGTCTGCGCGCGTGCACCACGCCGGACCCGAACCAGCGCTCGGTGGAGGCGCTGGACACCTACTCGCTGGAGCGCTGGGAGTGCGTGCTGCACTACATGGTGGGCTCGTCGCAGCAGGAGGGCATCGCCATGGACGCCGTCCGTCTGCTGCTCCACTCCGGACTGATGAAAACGTGAGTATCGACTAGAGATGTCAATCGGATACCAAATTTTTGGTATACCGATACCAAACCGATACCAACTCGGTATTTGGTATTTCAATCGTAATGGGTTTGGTATTTTGTTGGTATCATGAACCCTCACTAATGTATAAGAGGCTAAGAAATCGGTAAAAAGTTGGTATTTCCCTAATTTTCCCAAGTTGGTTTGGTTTCGGTATTTTCCCACGGTTTTGGTTGGTATTTGGTTTGGTATCGGTATTCCGATTTTCCGCAATTGACACCGCTAGTATCGACACTCGCCGGCATTTGAAGACGTGGGACGGAGGGCAGCTGTGGGCCGCCGGCGCAGTCTGGTGGAATTACTTGTCTTTTTCTTCTTGCTTTACTTTTCTTCGTCGTTGATTGTCGCTTTGACTAGAAGTGGATATAAAGTTTGTTCTGACTCATTACAGTCGGCGTCATCAGGGACTCTGACTGTAATTGTACTACACTTGTCGTTGGTGTGTATATCTGACCTGTCGTCCCTTCTTTCCTCGAGTGACGGTGACGGATGTTTTTGCGTTTGACCGTATCCCCTACATCCCCTATAAGTATTCGGGCTTACTGGTGTTGGCTGAGTGTCTCTCCCCCTCCCACAGAGACGGCGACGACCCCCAGCCGGTCATCACGCGCCAGGGGTTTCAGTTTCTGCTGATGGAGACGGGTGCCCAGGTGTGGTACCTGCTGCTACAGTACTTGGACACGTGCCACTACCACGGCCTCAGCCAGGTCGAGTGCCTCACCTTCCTGCTGCAGCTCGGATTCTCCAAACTGGGCTGCGTAAGTGGCTAAAGGCAGTGGGGCAGAGCGGAGGGAATAGAGAAGCCAACTTGGGATAACATATGTGTATTTATTTGACCCAGCTTTGAAGACCCTTAGACCGTGCCGTCGCCATCCCATCATGCAATTCAATATTGTTAAATATAACAATTATTGTTTCTCAATTCAATGTAACAATTCTCCATGTCGTGGTAGGATTGCCGGGATATATAGGATACACTTTCTCACACTTTTTACTGTGCTGGGACACGTTTGCTGTAAATACGGACGGTGTCCCGACCTTTCCCCTCTCTCTGACCTGACCTGACACCGTGTCGTCGACCGGCAGGATTACGTGACTGACGGCATGTCGGAGCAGCAGCTGACCTTTCTACAGCATCTGCGAGAGTTCGGACTTGTCTACCAACGAAAGGTGCCGTGTTCGGAACACTTAGCTGTATCTGGGATGGCCAAACGCTTTAGTTTAATCGTGGACTGATGAACGGTTAAGTTGTATCGTGGACTGATCAAACGCTTCTTCGACCTTTATCGAGCGAAAATTGTATGGTAGCGCATTGAGAGTTAACCTGGATTATGTATGGCGCAAACAGCCACCAGTGGACTTGGTCACCCCTCCCTTTCTCCCTCTCTTCCCCGCAGTCTAACCTGGTTTCTCTGTGACCCGCCACAGCGGAGCTCGGGCCGGTTCTACCCGACCCGGCTGGCGCTGGACCTGTCCGCCGGCTCCCGGCGCCGTCTGGCCATTCAGAGCCAGGGGTTCCTCGTCGTGGAGACCAACTACCGCGTGTACGCGTACGGCGCCTCCGACCTGCAGGTCGCCCTTGTGGGTCTGTTCTGTGAAATGGTCTACCGACTGCCGAACCTCTCCGTGGCGATTCTGACGCGCGACTCGGTGAGACAGGCGCTCCGGTCGGGCATCACGGCCGATCAGATCATCGCCTTCCTACGGATGCACGCTCATGCCGAGATGAAGAAGCAGGACCCTCTACTGCCTGGTACGGTGGTCGATCAGATCAAACTGTGGGAGATTGAGCGCAATCGGTTCACATTCGCCGAGGGGGTGCTGTACAACCAGTTTCTGGCGCAGGCGGACTTTGAGATGCTGCGGAACTATGCGCGGGATATGGGCTGTCTCACGTGGGAGAGTCCCGAGAAACGTGTGATGGTGGTCACCAAGGAGGGACATGACGATGTAAAGCGGTACTGGCGAAGGTATGGACGGGGTAACAACTAGTGAGTGGAGTAGGACCCGTAACAGTGAACCTGCTGAACTGTGTGCCGTACCGCGCAAGTGGAGTGATGGGAGCGGTGACCGGTAACTCCAAAACGGTCGGCGTCCGGGCAACCATGACCCTAGTGGTGCCTTCGTGAAGTGTAATGTTTTTCCTCACTAACGAGGCAGTGATATTGACCTGTTGTTTGCATCGTTTGAGTGTTTTTGTACGTTGTTTGTGTACAAAACTGGCATTGTCCGGTCTCGTTCATATGTATTTTCAGAGCGGCATGTCTCATCACACCAGCATTGCGTTCTGGGGCCGAACAAGTGCAAATGCATTGACGCCTGTGTAGCTCGTGTGTTTAAAACGGGGCGAGCCTGCGACGGCCGCGCAAAGCGCTGTTGAAGTAGAGAAATCGGTAAATATTTGAGTACGACTCACTATCCTATCATCGGCTGGTGTCCTAGTTTACAGGAAATTCGCGGGAGGAGTGAACACGCAGCTTCATTCGCCATAGAACCGACACAATGGAAACATCCAACACACATGCGTTCGGGCGCGCGAGTTTAATAAGGTGCTCGCACTCCTCCCTCGGCTTAATTCGGCGTCAGGTCATGCCGCCCTCAGCTGAACACACAGCCAACATACATCTTCACCACACGGTGTTGTTCGGTCACTGCGCCGCCGTGCACTGACACACAGCACGAACATAGAGAGATCAGCTACCACCAAGCAGGCACCCACCGCGCGGTGCGGTAGAGCTGCAACATAAACCCCCCAACGAGTACACAAGCCCGACCGGTTGCCACAACCGACATGGAAACAGCAACATATATACGGCGACGCCTAATGGTGTCTAGTGGTACTAGGCATGGTTTAAATTAGCCCGTGCTTCAGTACATGAACAATCCGTGACTGAGACCTACCACGGCTAGTGTCAATGCCACCGACTCTTGTCTAACATGACACGACTCGGAGCAGAGCAGTTTCACCGGCTGGGGTCTAACAAAGGACCGTCGCTGTCCACGGCGCTAGTTAAATATGATTATCTCGTCTGACTGCATTGCTGGGGTTGGCTCAGCCGCATCCCGGGACCTTCCAGCGTCCTTTGGATCGCTAGAAACCAACAAACCGGAATCCCAGCGCCACAACCTGTCAGCGGCCGCGCCGGCTAAGACAAGCCACTGCTTAGCCCTCTCCAGCCGGGGCGGAGGACCGTCACCTGAAGCTGACGCCTGTTCCTCCACACGGCGACTAGTTGTCCGTCTGCCCGTCGCCCGGCTTGTTCAGGTAGACGAAGCCGTTGGTGCCCTGAGGCAGGTTCCACGGCAGCCGGAAGAAGGAGCCCGACATGGGGGAGCAGTGGGTGCCCTCCATCTCGATCATCAGACGACTCGCCTGCGGATGGGAGCGGGAGCGACTCAGACGACGGGGGGGGGGGGGAGGAGTGGAGAGCTGAGTGGGCCTAGTTAGGTATTTTCTCAACGAGATAGACTAGTAGACACAGGGGAGGTATTCGACCTGGTCTCATGGCTGAATACTCGGAGAAGCAATTCGTACAATCGTCAGAATTAGAACCCGGCCACCTGTAAAATTGAGTCTTCTTTGGATACATCCTGACATCCTTGATCCACAAGGACGTGTAAATAATAACAATACTAGACTACTCGCTGGCGAAGCGGTGGGGGGGGGGGTGTCATGGTGATAACATTTCGGGTAGCCGGTGGGCGCCAGCAGTGCAAAAATTACCGAGGCCTTCAAGAGGACATACATAACATAACACGTAGATCACTAGTCATGTAGATCACGGACTAGCCGCGAATAAGGTAAGCAGCGGACTGTGATGTGTTTCGGCGGCGGCTGTGGGCGATTCCTCACCAGGTAAATGACTAGCTGGGAGCGTGTGCCGCTGTCCATATCCGCTCCGATACCCAGCGGGTAGGAGGCCGAGTGTTCCGACACGTAGGAGGCCAGCAGGGACTGGCACAGCTCGTCGTCAACGCCGGCTTCAGACGCCACCTCCGCTGTGAGGGGAGGGGGGATTACAGACCTACGCTGCAGACAGGGTCAGGGATTACATACAGTCAAGAATCTGCTGCGGATGGTCAGGAATTACGGTCAATGCCACGTCCACTGCCGGGGTAATACGCAGTCACCACCTTCGCTGCGGGAACAGAAGCAAACACAATAAGCACATCCTAGTCTGCTGGGCCACACAGTGACCGCTCCGCTGCAGGAGAACAACAATCAACATAGTCACCATCTCCACTGTCAGGGTCACACAAAGGCAGAGTCAAAAAGTCATCTACTCTTACGAGCGCCGGCCACGCACATTTCAAAACACTCATCCAGACTGACAAACCCAACACTAACCACCACCGCGGCGCATCCCCATAAACTGTAACTTTGCACACACGGTAAAAACGACATTAGTGCCTATTCGACTGTTTGGGACGCGCCTCACCCTGAATGACGGCGTCTCCGCGCGCCCACCGCTCGAGCAGCCGCCGGCTGGAGGCGTCCAGCAGCGAGGGGAACCGGTGCTCCATCATCTGCAGCAGCAGGTCGTTGGCCCGGTTGGTGCCCACCTCACCCTCCCTGCCGGCCGGGGAGGAGACGTCAGTCAGCCATGAGGGTACGGGGCCGGGCGGTGACTGACAGTCTGACGCCGCCACATGCCGGATTCAGGCCCATTCAAGCAGACACAATACAGCACACGCCACACATAATAGTTGATGTCGTTAACAATGAGCAAAACTGCAATGTGCGACATCACTTGGGGATTAGGGTTCTGACAAAAAATCAGTGCTAACGAAAGTGAGCGAGTTCAGGCAAAAAATACCGTTTAAGAACATGCCATAAAGAGAGCATATCTTCATGAATAAAACAAAAGTTAATGTAAAACGTCATGCGAACGATAGCATGTCATTGAAATATTACGAAGTAACGTTACGACCCACGTTACGTTCCTGCAAACACACCCTCCCACATGCCACACGGGTAGTGGGGATAACCTCATTCAGCGAGCTCAGGTCCCCCACATCTCTCACGTGACTGAAGTGTGAAGTGATCTGATCTAGTCCAACGATCCCCTGCATCACTCACGTGACTGTGATGACCTCATCCTGGGAGCGGCGGATGAGCAGCACTGGGCCCGGGTAGTGGCGCAGCAGGCGCGAGTTGTTCAGGTCCAGATGACGGCGACACGTCAGCTGCACCAGCGAGTTCCACGAGGGGGGCATGCGGGCCACGGCCAGCGGCAGCACGTCGTCAAACGTGGCGTCCAGCACCTGTCGGCGCGCGCCGCGCCGACCGTTACACACTGACCGTTATATCAGACCACGCATACCAAATGCATAGGACTGTACAATGCCATCTCTTAATAGTAGGTACAGACTGTGCGCGATAATACCTTACAAACCTTTTAGAGACCGGCTAAAGACCGGTGGACGGCAAGCAACACCGTTAGTTACCTTGCCGACTTAAGGGAGTAAGGTGCAACAATTCCTCAGCTTTATTGTCATCAGCGTCCAGAAAACCACTAAGCCCAGACCAGACAACATACAGACGACGAGGGCGCTGCTATCCACCTTCATTGACCTCAGGACGACCGAAAACGGCCGGTCCTGGCCGCACTGATCAGAGGCCACTGACACTGAGCACTCACAACACCACCGACGCCATGGCCATCCCAAGAGACTGAATACCCGCCGATAGGAGGATGGGAGCTGTCAGGGACAGTCCGGTACTGTTGGGGACGGTCTGATGTTGCTAGGGACGGTACTCACCACACCGCCCACACCCGGGTGGGTCATGGCCGCCCAGGAGGCCGTGTACCCGCCGATGGTAGGAGTCACAGGTCTGGAGCTGTTACACAGCCTTCTACCGCTAGTGACGGTACTCACCACACCACCGACACCCGGGTGCGTCATGGCCGCCCACGAGGCCGTGTAGCCACCGATGGGAGGACGGGAGCTGTCAGGGACAGTCCGGTACTGTTGGGTAGGGACGGTAGTCGGTACTCACCACACCGCCGACACCCGGGTGCGTCATGGCCGCCCAGGAGGCCGTGTACCCGCCGATGCTCCACGCGTACAGAATGGTGTCCTGCTGGCGGAACCCGAGCTGGCTCTCGGCGAACTCCATCACCGCCGCGATGGCGCTCTGCTCACTCTCCGGCAGCGGCACGCCCTGGAAAGGAATGGGCGTGAGCTGTGGCTACTGTGCGGAGACGGTGGGGCAAGAACACCCTAGCCCGCTGGTGGAGAGCGTAATACTAGGAGGGAATATTCTGGGTAGCGTTACAGAGGAAGGACCGAGAATGAAACATGGTAAAGCAGTGAGGGGCCATCGCTCACCGTGATAGACTAGTTAAGCTGTTGGTCAACATCAACCAACCTAATGTGTAAGGTATGTAGAAGTCGTCGAGGGAGGGAATGAGTAATGAGTGATATAACCACTGCGATATAGTTGCGATGACTTCCCCAGTCTCCACCCAACCATCACAGACACACGGGGGCTGCGGGGGCGCTCACCGAGCTCCCGGCAAATCCCGGGTGGTTCCAGCCGAGCACCGAGTAGCCGGCCTCCAGCGGCGCCGACGTGGCGCCGATCTCGTAGAAGCCGGCGTTTCCCTCGCAGCAGATCACCAGTGTTTTACCGTTGGGCGAGTTCCTGTGGGGCAAACCAAGCAGATAAGCATAATAAGAAAGGGGACACATCATTGATGTGTAATGCATCTCTAAGCAACTTTATTGTGCTGTGGGTCAGCAATTCAGCATATATTTTCAGTTAATACCGACTGATCGTCAGCTGGTGCACGAAATTGGTTTGCATGGCACCAATTTCATCACACATGACCGAAAATTCAAGTGTAACTGGAGGATTTTTTATATAGGTAATGGAAAAGAATTACGACTGGGAACAAATTTACATTAAACGTAAAAAAATAACGCATATACGGGAGGACAAAGCAACCTAAATCGGCATTCAAAAGTCAAGTATGCAGGCTTCGTTTTGTTGATACTGATCATGAAAAAAGCGTCATCGATTCGGTCATATCAATGACAAATCAAACTTCCCAGCCATTCGCTCGAATATTACAGCTGTCACAAACCCGTCACAGCACAACACAGCCATATATGGTCAAAGCTACGCATCATCCCTGGAATGCCGACCAAAAATTCCCACCGCCAGACAATACCATCGCGCCCGGCTCGGCTGACCGGTTTTCTGAGCTGTTCGGTCACGATACGACGCGACTGACCCACATGCATATTGCATTCTCACGCTCCGCCGTGCCGGTCAGCCTGAGTGAGCCGAGACCTGTTGTTCCCACGGCTAGCCGGGATGTCGTACAGCGTGAGCACTCACCAGGGACCGTCGGCCGACAGGACACATGGCCTGTGACCGGCTGACTACACTACCAGCCCAGGGACAGGGGCCATGGGGAGGAATTCGAGACGGAGGGGACAGCTGATGGTACGGGATAGATCGAACGGTAGGGGGAGGGGGAATGACAGAGACGGAACGGGATGGCAGGATGAGACCAGATAGGATGGAGATGGGAAGATAGAACACAATATGGCCGATGAGACAGATGTGACCTAATAGGACACAGGGGAAGAGATGGGAGGAATGAACCAGATGAAAACGACGGAACCCATCTAAGGCGGATAGGACGAGGTTTGCCAACTGCACCAGTTATGATCCAATCACGGAGACTCCACCGGCCGACCCTGCTCCATACAAGTCCGTACAGAGCCCCTAATCGTACGTCAGGGTGAGCGGTGACCAGTCAGGTGTCATTATCCAGTCACTAATATCTGTAAGAGCCGCTCTTACAGATAAATACTATGGCCCTTACCCATCTCTGCGCCGGTCCACGAACATGGTGTCGATGCGGTTTCCGTCTCTGGCGAGCAGCGCGTGCCTCTTGCCACCGAGCTCCTCCACCAGGCGGGTGCGGCCTTCCAGAAGAGCCGGCGCTGGCGGAAGCACAAACGATCCGCATGAGACAGGCTGATAGAGATCGTCCCGTGTTTAACCGGTTAGGTACTATTACGGCATCATTGCGACCCAACGCGACTGAAGCTAATTTTACCCAGCCTTTCAGACATGTTGCTATTCAAAGGCAGATATTAGCACCTTGTAATAAATGTTAGATCCATTCGTTCATCGCGCACAAGACAACATTATTATCAAAACTATACTGATACTAGTTGTGACTGGCCGTGCTATTCACGGCCCGCCGCCGCTCCACCCACCTACCGAGCAGTGAGCGCATGAAGCCAATGCTGCCGGGGTACATGAGGCGGCGCCCGATTGTGTGAACGACACAGTAGGTGAGCAGGCGGGTCGGCAGGCCCAGCAGACCCTCGTCGCTGAGACTGGAGGTCAGGGTCTCCCCGCCGGCCGGTATCTCCAGCACACTGTCGGTACAGGCAGGAGGTAAGGGTCTCCCCGCCAGCCGGTATCTCCAGCACACTGTCGGTACAGGCAGACGGTTAAGAGTGAGCCTCGAGCAAGCAGCGGTCGGGGTCCTCCAGCACTGTCGGTATTGGTAGACATTAATAATCGCGTCAACATTCGGATAAGGTCGGTCCTCCACCGTAATGCCGGTTGCCAGGATACGTCAGGTACGGCTATCGCGGCGCTGGAGAGGACTACAACACGCTGTTAGACACAAAACATCAGCACATACACAGACGAGAGCCTACAATAATTATACCGTGATAGACATATAGCTGACACCACAATCACAACCAGCCCCAGAAGAGCACACTCCAGCCCCAGATTATCGCTGTTTACCACCCACACTCACCCCTGCGCCGCAAAGTCGATCGGCCACGCCGCCATGTCAAAGTCGTATCCGGCCAGCTGTCGACGTCGCTCCGGGTCGGTGGCGTCACCGCCCAGTACCTCCATGAAAAGGCGGTACTGCGGGTTGGCCATGCGGCCGAACGCGCGCAGGACCGCCGCGCCGGCCGCCAGCGCGCCCAGCCAGCCGGCAAAGCGCACCAGAGACGCGGCGCCATCCACCGAGAGGTAGCCGCGCCACAGCAGGTAGGCGCCCACCAGCGGTGACGTCCAGACAGTGGTCTTGTAGAACAGACGCACCTGAGCAGGGTAGAGGAGGACGTAGAGCGTGACAGGGAAAGGAATTAATTAGAAGAGATAATTGAGCTGTGCTTAGAAGGATAGCTATGGAGGACTATCCTTGAGACAAACGGCTGATATTATCTAACATCGATAGCAAACTTTATGCTAAAAAGGAATTACAATGAAATGTGAAATCATAAGTAATGCGAGAATAGTAATTGTCACTTACGAACGAGATGATCCTGTCTCCCCAACTCTCCATTGCATTTGGAACATATTGGAAACCCTGAAAGCAGAAGACACAATTTCAGCTTGAATGTAGGCAGGGCGGTCTACTCCCATGCATTGCATACAACCATTTTCAGCATTGAAAAAAACAGCCTTCAGGGTTTTTTTTACTGCAGCTCGCCTCACATCACTGCTTAGCGAGATGTGCTGTCTATGCACGACAGCTCCATTGCCTATGGAAAAAACCATGATTTCGCACATCCCGTCCACCACATTTCGTCCTCGCAAATCTTTGTCCGCGAATTTTCGTACCTAAGCAGCTTCTCGTCACGGTTCGTCCGCATTTCTTTGTCCGAAGTTCACGATTCTGCGACCATCCCGCCACGCCCGCACCCTGCTTCTCCTCCACCCCTCGTCCCCCACACCCCCCAACCCGTTCCTGCCAAACTCGCCGTAAGACCCTGGAAGCCAACTGCCACAGTAATGGCTCAAAGTGTTGCCACAGGGGGCCATCAACAGACCATCCCTCAGTGAGTATCACTCATCGAGATGTAATGACTCGAACTTGGGCATATCACCAGTGGGAGTCCAATGGCCCTACCAACCTGAGCAGACTGTAAGGCTAGACTGGAAAACACCCATAGGTACACTACGCCGGACGCCTGTGAGACCCTACTGAGCCGAAAGTTGGCGCAGGCGATTTCGCGCTTAACTTTCTGCATGACTTGCCGAGCGCCGAACATTGGGTGCCTATTTGAGCCAAAATTAAGCCACTTTTATATAAAGCACATGTGCACATCTACCAATCAAGGCCATATCAACCAGACAAAGTGTTCTGGGGCCTTGGACGCTCTCCCCTCCCATGTTTGAGCGTCCGAATAAGTTTTTTTCCATGGAAACCCAACACCTCAATACGCTTAGCGTATTGTCGCTTAGTGTCGTGCCGTGAAAACAAGGCCAGAGTCGGAAGTTCCACAGCCACAAAAATCGTCGGAGCGGTGTGTTCGAGGATGGGCGGGCACCAGCGAGGGCGGGCAGCGGAGTAGCACGTGCTCCGGCACATCAGCCTCTGCGCCGCGGGGCAACGCTTGTCTGGGCCAGTCTGGGCACTGCTGGCACACTGCGGAGTGGAGACAGCCGATTCGAAGCACATACTGGAGCAAGCGGCCCCAGTGGCCCGCCCTCATCTGGTGCACCGAAACGGCGTCCTCTCGGTCCTCTCCGGGGATAGGGAGCAGCGCCAGCAGCGGCGTGCTCCCGAGGAGCGGCTTAAATAGTGACTCGGACCAGTTACTGTTGTCACGCCATTGATGCGAGGCCGCACAATCAACCGCCCTGGTCAGCGAGCGGGCGTTTAAGGGCAGGGCATCTGCTTGTTTTGCCAGGTTGTCCGCACTCTCATTCCCCTTGATACAGCAGTGGGCTCCTGCCCACTGCAGTATCACTTAATGACACTCTGCAATGTTCAACAAGGTCTTCCATACCTATCTCTATGCCGAGGGTTGAGGCCTCACCTGGGCGGCTGCTCCTGCCCTGAGTGGGCTTAGGGCGGCTCGCCAGTTCGAGCACATGACGACCAGGGTTGAGGGTGGGGACGTTTCATCCCGAAATCTCTCTAGAGCTGCCCGCAGGGCGAATCTGCTGCTAGATTGACTAGCGTGCCAACTAAGTTTGATGACCATCTTTTGCAAAAACAAAATATGTGGCCGCCCTGCACCGAAAAATTCAGCTACCGCTATGCACTGAATTTGACGCATGAGAAGTTACGTCGGACTTCTTTTTTGCTGTACCCTGGCTCGGAATAAGGAATAAAATTAACAACTGGCGATTATTTAACTTCATGATTAATTTCAAAACTATGTTCCAAAACAAAAAACTGTTGATATCATGCTAGATTCGTTATACACACAAAAACATAACCATCTTAACTTACTGCGGTGGTATCCGTCTTGTACACCCTGTACAACTCTGGGCCCAGAAAACTCCTGATAAGTGAGCCCATGATTGTAACTTGTTGTACTGGGCTGGACTACAATCAGGCTAAGTCCCTTTTAATCTACTTTAACTTTAATTAATTGATTTCCTTCTCGATCCACAACTGCCTCACACACACACCAACGAAAGTCAGATTGTTCCAAGGATCTCTTATATCTAGCATTCGACGTTGGAAACGCACCCTTTCTGAATCTATGACGTCATAAGCATTTTACGTCAGAGAAACTGGCGTTATGAAGGGTCGACAGGCAAAGTACCTAAGTCATGAAAGAATAGTCAGCATGATCTAAAGTGAAACAAAAATGATTTATTTTGTTGCCCAAAAAGTATCCCATTTTTATGGCAATATTCCACGATGGGGAATATTTGGAAGCCCCCAAATCGGGACTGATAGCAAGATTCCTCAAGATAAGAGCTGTGCGACTGGTTACTGAAGCCCGCGACCCATTGCAGCAGCTGGTGCTGTTTTAGGACTTGGTAGCTGCTGAAGGGTGGGATTGAGTGCTAACAAGCGTGAAAAGGAGGCAAAACATAAGCGGTTTCAGATCTCTTCAATCTGGTTCTCCCAGACGACACAAAACATAGACAAAACACGGCAACTAGCTTGTACATACATTTGTATTCTCATAAATATCAGTACAATTGGCAAAAATTACAAATATTGTTGAATATTACAACTGCATTTTTTAAAGAAAATAACAATATGTATAGAACAGTTTAATATCTAGGCATGTAAAAAGAGAGTCCCAACGAGGTTTTCTATGGGTATGCTGTACGCACGCAACAATCTGCCGCGCCCGAGTCTGGGACCGGGCGCGGCATCGGCCGGAGGGCGGGCGGGCGGCGCGTGGCGCCGGGTGCGCTGCTCACTTGAACGGTCGCCTGAGGTAGAGAGGAGCGGGGCGGCACGGCGGCCGCCCCGACCGGTGGCTGAGAGAGGCTGGGCGCGCGCGCCCGTCGCCCACGCACCTCCGCCCGCCCGCCGCAGGCCCACACCCGCGCGCACGCACACACGCATACACACAAGCTAGCCGGTCACAAGCATCCAAGCGGCCGGCCGGTGGGCGGCGCAACTAGCACTACTGCACCGCCGCCGCGGGCCGACAGCGCGCCGGCGCTGCTCGCGCGCTGTCTCTCACACGATCCAGGTACCAGGAGCCAGTGGCCGCCGAGGACACGAGACGCACGCGCGACGCGCCACGTAAGGATACAAATGCCCGTATAACAGTTACGACTCGGCCTGGGGCTCGCTTGTCGTACGTTTGTACTGAATGGCCGCAGCGCTTTGCCAGCCGCGGCCACACGCGCCAGGAGCGCCGGCCGGCCAGCACGCGTGAGCAGTCCACCTACTATAAATGCTACAGAAGCGACTAACAGAGCGCGACTCCGCCGCCCGAGACCCGCTTATTATGTGCAGCGCGCCGGCCGGTCGCGCCGCGTCAGACGCTGGCACGCTTCTTGCTGTCGCCTCGACTCGCTCACAGACACAGACACACACACGCGCACACACACCTCTGGGACGCACTGTTGAACGCTGGTCGGGAATGAGGCCGCCGGCCGCCGGCTGCGAGCGGCCGTCAACCCGGTATGGAGCACGGCCGCGTTATGGAGGCAGACGCCGATCGTCCGGCGACACAAACTCGCGCACGCACTGTCTCACACGCACTCGCACTCGCTGGCACGCGCGCTGTTTGGCTCGCAGTCGTGTGTGGGGGGCGGCAGAGGGCGGGGTCGGGCGCACCGCCTGAGGTAGAGCAGCCGCCGCCGCGTGCTCGCTCGCGCGCGCGCGCGCACACTGTGAGCCTCTGAGAACCCGAACATGGTTGCGAGGTATGCTGGCCGCGGGTGGTGCCCGCAGCCGCCGGAGTATTCAGAGAGTGGCCTACTGTCTGGGAAGGTCGAGGTCGGAGGTGGGGGCCGCGCGGCGCACGCGCTCTGCCCGCTCGCGGCCCACTTGTACGCTCAGTCACTCGGTCTCGCGCGCCCGGGCTGTCGTTCGATTGCACTGGCGCGCTGCAGTCTGGTCCAGGCGCCGGCGCTGGCGGCCGGAGGAGGGGCGGTGCCGGTGACGGTCCGAGCCGGCGGCGGCCGCCCTGCAGCTGGCCCGATCGGCCCGTGGCGGGCGCACCACGGCACGTCTCTGACTAGATACTACAAACGGACGTCGGCGGCGGCGGCGGCGACGACGCGGCCGCGCCCCGACTCGATGCTAATGGAGCGACTGGGGATTTGGCCTCTGAACAGTGCCACGACCGACCTTGTACGGAACAAGGCACTTAAACCAAGAACCAAACGCGCGTTAAGTGAAGTAGTGGGCTGTCTGTGTGTCTGTTTGCCTGTCTGGGACAGCGGCGGCACCGAGCGCGACGACAGACGACGGCGAGCGCCGGCACAACTAAAAACACCCGACTGGTCAGAGCCCGACAGCGCCCCTAAAATAACAGGTCAACGGCGCTAAACACATAAACACGACAGAAAACAAGAGGTAAAAAGGTGCCCATTGACAGCTGCGAGGCGCGATTCTGGCGGCCGGCCGGGCCGAGGCACCGGACCGGCGCCGCCTTCAACACAACGGTAACACACGCACACGGCACACACACACACACACGGGCAGGCCGGACCGCCGCGAGACGCGAGCATCCGACCCACCCACTCACACACACACACCACACCCACACGGACACACACCAACACAGACACGCAGAGACGATCTCCAAATAAAGTACCCGTTTCGTTTCAAAGTATATGCAGGTGTGCGTCGTTGGCGGTTGGTTTTCTCGGCGGGAGGCCGGCGGCGGCGGCGGCTCAGGGCGGCGGCTCTCCACCGCCGGCGGTGCCGCTGCCGCTGCTCAGTACGGACGAGTTGTTGTTGATGAGGCCGACGCGCGACTCGTTGTGGGCGTCCCCCGAGCCGCGCCGCAGCCGGTCCGTGCTCAGGTACAGCGGGTGGACGAAGCCGTTGGCGCGCCCGTTGGCCGGCTTGGTGGTCGGGTGGCCGCCCTGCGCGAGGCGGGGGAGGGGAGGGACCGTCAGCGATACACTAAGCCTGGGGACCGGCCGGCAGCTTAAATACATCATATAAGACCTATGCACAATAACGCAGACTGTATGCGGGAGAGAAACTGTGTAGTCACTAGTCAGGCACCACTATACACGACTCCCATCGCTAGTTATCTAAATAAAAGAATATTGGTGATAGCAGACTGCGGACACATGGGGGGGGGGGGGGGGGCTTACGCCAAACGCACAACACCGGGTTCTTGGCTGACATTGCGAGTTGTGACCGAAATCTGACATATACGGCAATATTGGTACCCGCTGCCGCCCCATGGAGACGCTCACCTTGGTGTCCAACTGGTGCTCGGCGGCGGGCGCCACGTGTGTCAGCATCGGCGTCAGCACCTCCATCTCCACGTGATCGGAGCCGGCGGCGGCGCCGGCCGCTCCGGAGCCGGAGCCGGCTGCTCCGTTCAGGTGGGGCCGGGAGACAGCGCCGGCCGAGGAGCGCTGCCGGCCGCGGCGCCGGCGCCGCCGGTGGCAGAACAGGCCCAGCGCCGTGCCGGCCAGCAGTACCACAAGCAGCAGCACGCCGGTCAGGATCGCTGGGAGAAGGGGCATGCGGTCAGTATCAGCGGGAGATAGAGCCGCGGCCAGACGCCGTGGCGGTATAACAAACACACGCACAGCATGACACATCGAACACATGACACAGCGGCAGGCCAGACAATACTACACATCGATCAGCTGCTGGTAGAGACTCGGATCACCGTCCCCCTCGCTTCCCCGCTTCTCAGTGACATGATGGCTGTTCAGCAAAGTCTCGTTACGTCTCCATCCCACCCAAACCAGTTTCACCATGTTATCCCCACTCTCCCCGGTCTTACTGTAAGTGGTGCCGTGGCTAGCCGGTGCCGGTGTGGGCGTGCTACTCTGCAGCACCGCGCGGATCTCGAACCGGACCATATCAGAGAGCTGGCCGGGCGCCGCCGCCGTCCGGCCGCGCACGCGCAGCCAGTACTGCTGGTTGGGCACCAACTGCGAGAGCTGGACACGGACGGGACGGGGAGACGTCAGTAGATATCAGAGCGACGCAAACAGGCACACAGCTGCTGCCACCCAAGACACGGAGTGGAACATTGATCGAACGAACAGATTAAGAGCCCGAATGGAGCAGGGTGCGAACCGAGTATAGACTGGATGAAATACAAAAGCAAAGTCGGGACGGAATAGACACGAAGCCAAAACGAGATAAAAGGCGACCAAAGGTTGGATTCAGTAAGGATGGAATGTCAAATCCATGCATAGCACTGTCCATTCCTCAACGTTGCCTCTAGCAGGCACAAAATCTCGGTTTAAGAATTTACATACAAAAATGAATTGCTAGCTTTCAGAATGTAATTGGTTTGCTTCTAGCTGAGTCAGCACATCCACCGGCCCCATCCTGAGCTGCATTCCTCATGTCCTATAGTACGCAGTCCGGCGCCCGTACCTGCATATTGGTTCCGGAGCTGGCCGGGATGTCCAGATAGGACCAGCGCTCCAGCGGCTCATCCTTGTCGTGGGTGTAGAACACGCGGTAGCCGGCGATCTGGCCGTGCGGCCGCAGCGGGGGCCGCCACGAGACGCGGATACGGGACGCGTCCACCGGGAACCAGGAGACGTTCAGCGGCGGAGACGGCGCTGCGGAGAGGGCGGCGAGGTCAGGTGAGCGCGGACTCAGATGAGCCTTATCACCATTAACATACGGGACAGGCAGAAACACAACTGATAAAGACATCAGCTGCGTCCCAGCCCGACGAAACCATCTACACCTAACGGTAGTAGACAACAATCACAGATCAACATTGAAGACGCGCACAGCAAATGACCGTCCAAGACAGACTACCAAATGGCTAGAGAACAGCTGACACTAGCACGGCCTAAGAAATGAATAAATTTTCACTTAAAACACCGGCGGCACTGGCTTGCTTTATACAAGCACTCGCTTACAGGGCTTACAGAATACGAGCTCACTAGCAGCTCCCTCTTTCGTACGGACTCGCTCGCCTGTCTCCACCGCTCCGAACTCACCTCCCTCTAGCGTACGGACTCGTTTGCCCTCCGAGTACGGGCCGTACGTGTTGTCGGCGTCGTGGCTGCGCACTGTAAACTCGTACAGCGTGAACGGCTGCAGACGGGTCACGGTCATCTCCGAGTCGGTGCTGTTGGCACACGGAGGGGCGGCACGTCAGTGTCAGACGGCGCAGGCCGGCCGGCGGTCACGGCAGCCACATACCAAACTCGATGGGAATCAGATGATGCACAGCGAAACTGTTCCGCAGGAAACGTATCTCACGTCACTGACAGGCGGGGAATGCATCTCACATCGCTGAAACGTGGAGGACTGCATCTCATGTCACTTTGCGATCCGGTTGTTCACGTTCAGTCCCCATCTCTCCTTTCCCCCTCTCTCCGTTCCTTCGCTCAGTGCCGCCCGGACTTTCAGCCGACCTCCCCACTTTCCCAGCAGCGCCGGCTGGCTGTTCAGCTCCCTCCCTCCTTTCAAAGCTCCCATCCCTCCCTCCGCTCAGCTCTCTCTCCCTCCCTCCACCCACCTTCTTTCCACCAGCCCACCGCCTCCACCTCGCGTTCTCACCTGCTCAGCAGCACCGGCTGGCCCTTGTCCGAGTTGATCGGTCGGTACTTGACCGTGTAGTACTGGATGGCGCGCGCGCTCGGCGGTCGCTGCCACTTGAACAGCACGGCCGTGGCGTTCAGAGCCTCAGCGTTCAGCGCCACTGGCGGCTCGAGCACGGGCCGCTCCAGCTCGAATTCGCCTCCCACCTCCACCGGCAGAGTGGAGATGGTCTTGATGGCCTCGGCGGTGCGCCAGTCGGCCGCCACCGTCTGTACGTGCACCTCGTACCACGTGTTGGGAACTGCACGACGGAGCGGACAGAGGTCAGGGCGCGGCACGAGGAGATGACGAGAGGGGTGCGCGGGTCACATAGGTCACGGCTACGTAAAGCACAGCAGGCGGCACGCATCCTGCCACGCACATGGTAGTAACTAGTAGACAGCATGGCGCCTAGAATTATAAGTGAAAAACGGCTCCTTACACCTGCGCACAAGTATCACCGCCAGGGGTTTAGGAGCTTCACAGCAGCTGCACTTTGAACCAAAAGTGAAAAGGGTAAATAAAAAAAACTACCAAAATAACATCAATTCAGCAAAAAGCCTAACAAAAGTTCCAAAGAAATAATTTCTGCACGCCGTAATGACTATTCTCAAGCAGTACTCTGAGCTGATACGTTCGGCTACAGAACAGAGCGGTGCCATGTCGGCCTCGCCCGCCTCTGCCCCGCCGGTGATGGGAGGTACGCGGAGCGCGGACTGACCCAGGTCGGTGAGGTAGTACTGGTAGGTGTCGGCCGGCAGCCGGATAGATAGAGAGAGGTAGTACTGGTAGGTGTCGGCCGGCAGGCGGATAGATAGGGAAGAGTAAGGGGACGCGGACTGACCCAGGTCGGTGAGGTAGTACTGGTAGGTGTCGGCCGGCAGCCGGATAGATAGGGAAGAGCAAGGGGACGCGGACTGACCCAGGTCGGTGAGGTAGTACTGGTAGGTGTCGGCCGGCAGCCGGATAGATAGGGAAGAGCAAGGGGACGCGGACTGACCCAGGTCGGTGAGGTAGTACTGGTAGGTGTCGGCCGGCAGCCGGATAGATAGGGAAGAGTAAGGGGACGCGTACTCACCCAGGTCGGTGAGGTAGTACTGGTAGGTGTAGGCCGGCAGCCGGATAGATAGGGAAGAGTAAGGGGACGCCGGTACTGACCCAGGTCGGTGAGGTAGTACTGGTAGGTGTCGGCCGGCAGCCGGATAGATAGGGAAGAGTAAGGGGACGCCGGTACTGACCCAGGTCGGTGAGGTAGTACTGGTAGGTGTCGGCCGGCAGCCGGATAGATAGGGAAGAGTAAGGGGACGCCGGTACTGACCCAGGTCGGTGAGGTAGTACTGGTAGGTGTCGGCCGGCAGCCGGATAGATAGGGAAGAGTAAGGGGACGCGTACTCACCCAGGTCGGTGAGGTAGTACTGGTAGGTGTCGGCCGGCAGTCGGATCGGTCCCTTCAGCTCGGAGCTCAGGTCCTGACGCCGGTACAGCACGTTAAACCCCACCGGCGGCGCCTGCAGGCGGTCAGCGGAGTCCGGCATCTCCCACGATATCTGAAAATACGCAGCGGGCGGACGTGAGGGCACTGCCGCGGTTCCAGCAGCACACAGCTAACGCAGGTAACTGGCGACAAGTACCAGCAGCTGTAATGCTTATAAATTCCTGTCAAACAGCGTAGCAGATAGACTAAGTACAGCCAAAGCAGAGCATAAATTATCGTGGGGCAAACGGACTGCAGTATCGCACTAGCCGGACAATTCAATGCTCCCTGGTTTCGACTCACGTTAAACAATCTCTCTTGACATTGGAATTTGGAAGGTAACTGGCCGATGGAAGGTGGCCAATTTGAGTTTTGAATCGTGTTTTCTAGGCCTACTCCCCAGGGTATCAGCTGGACAAACATAGAAAGCGGTGATACTGCGGTCCCTGTGGCAGCGCCAGCCACCAGCATCACCTGCTGACTAGTTAGCGCGGTTGCCGCTGACCTCTGGCAGCATAACCACCCCGTGCAGGTCCGGCCGCTATTTCTAGCGGCACACTCACCAGGATGGTGGTGTGGTTGCTGACCACCAGATGGACGGCCGGCGGCCGCGGGCCCGGGTCCACTGGCGTCAGGCTGCGCTCCGGCATCCGCTGCTGTACCCACTGGGCAAGCTCACCGGCTCCGCCGCCGCGTGTCACATTCTGATAGCCGACCCGCGTGGCGGCCAGCACCCGCACGTCGTACGCCCGGCCCGGCTCCAGACCTGCGCGCACGCATTGGACGAGGAGGGAGAGGTCAGAGCGGGTCAGGAACGACAGGGAGAGCAACAAATGCGCGCAGTACCGCCCAAGGTTGTTAAGTTAAGCATGGTCTAACCTCTAACGAATGTCTTCTCGTTCATGGCCAATCCCATACTTCTAGCTGATCAAACACGGGGTCAAACAGCATATCGTCAAGTGGCAACTGCAGTTACCGACTTGGTACGCTTTTCAAACCCGACAAAGTATCTTATATGAATAAATAAACAGAATATCACAAATTTCCGACAAACCCAACAAATTAACAAAAGTCGACATCCCTAATAAAACTTCTATATCTTTCGTCCCAAATTCCCCCGAACCGTTACATAACCAGCCTTTCAGCTGTACTTTGCCCACCCCCGTCCCCGCGGCGGCCCGCCACTGACCGGTGATGAGGAACGAGTGCCGGTCGGCGCCGACCTCGACCATCGAGGCCGTGGCCGGGTCGTTGTGCCGCTGGGAGTTGATCCGGTAGCCGGTGATGACGCCGTTGCTCAGCGAGGCCGGTAGCGCCTCCCACGAGACGTTCAGCTCGGTCGGCGACACGGCTACCAGAGTGACGCGCGGCGTCTCCGATGGCACTGTCGGAGAGAGACGCAGACGCGTTAGGCACTGATCGCACTGGGCGAAACAACCAGGCCAGTCGAGCTCATGGTCACATTGGTGGTAATGTTCACAACTGTTACATAATTGGTTGAACACAGTCGAACGCTGAGTAACGTCAGTCGCTGACGGCAATATGAGCACCACATCCACGAAGACAAACAACTGTAACACATCAGTGTCAGCCGGGGAACACAGAAACGTTAACTACTGATGGTGATGAACGCGTGAACATGCTCGATGGTGACATTAATTGACTTGACGTTGAATTGTCACCGACCCGAAAAGTAAAATGTTAAGTGTTTAGAGACAACCCTTTCCAGTGCCGCCTCGCTCGTATAGAGTAGCTAGCACGTAACTACAGTTGCGCTTCAAGACCGGGTAAAATATTGTTGAGTTGTACCCCTAAGCTGATCTGTCACAAGCATTTGGTGTTGTTGTTGTTGTCTTCCGCACAAGTCAGGGGTCATGTCTATCTCGTAGCTCAGTTGGTACTCTGGCGCTCGATATAATAAGACTCCTGGCGGGGATGATTTGCGGTTGGTGGGTGCCGCCACCAATAATTTGAATTCGGCTATTGAGTGGTACTGACCACATTCGGCTACACGACGCGAGTACGATTTACCTCCACTTCTAACTTCTGCCAACCATTTAGAGTTGGCCGATCGGAAACAAGCTCATGTCCCGCGGGGTTTAGTCTCGTCGGTCTGACCGTTCAAAACGTTCGAATTTAACTTCCTTTCTTAATTGCGTTCCACCAGTCAAAGACTGAGAAGGCTGAAAAAGGTGTGAAGCTGATTTCAATGTGTTGTTAGACCATAAAAATTTGTGACCTTTCCGACAATAAGCCAAAGGGATAAAGTTCAACATCTTTTGAAAAAAACCTGATCCTGAGCATTTGCAAACATGTTGTAGTTACTCGGTGTTTATTAAATATCGTGGTAGCCCTCACAAACCTGGACAATATATCTCCCGTTAGCGGGTATAGCGTCAGTTCAGAATTCAGATAGCCGTGTCCCTCTAATTCAGCTACCGCCGATACCTTGACACGCACGCGCAGCAAGGAACACATGTAACTAGCAATTATGGGTTCATCCATATTCCATACCCTACCATACGGAACGGACCACATCAGAGTGCTGGTCCACCCGGTGTGTGGCTCTGGCTTGACATTTGACCGAGACAGCCTATAGAATATCAGCGCAACCCAGCCCTCCCAACATGCAGCATATGGTCAAAACCCTCCACCCGCAGCAGGCCGCCACGGAAGTCAGGGCTTACCCAACTATCAGACGTGTAAGCAATGATGCCGATTCAGCAGCCTGCTGGATATTATAGACTACAGCGCCAATGGAGGTGTCAGTACACCATTAGATCCATCATACGCGACATGTCGAAGTCCAAGCATAGCGTCCATGCACTCTCCTTCACCAAAGAGTCGAAACACAAGGATTAAATAAGTCCATGCGCAAAGGGTAGAAACAAACACATTAGGACCTAGGACCTTCACCAAAGAATCGATTCACAAAGGGTCGAAAATGTTCATGCACACAAGCAGGTAGAAAGAAACACATTAACACGTCCTAGCATTGCGCGGCCGGACAGAGCTCAGTAGTCAGTACCCCACACCGTCCGCCGCGCCGTCCATCCAGTACGTACCGTCCTCTGCCGTGCGAAACTCGATCGTCTCCGAGGGGTCGGAGGCCATATCGGTGGAGTAGGCGCGCACATACACCGAGTAGTTGGTGTAGGGGCGCAGGTCGCGCACCACGTGCGTCATCTCGGCCACCACCTGCTGACTCTCCGGAGTCACTGCCAGGAAGAGAGCGGAGGTCATACTTCGAACTCGGACACCAAGCAGCGGCAAGGGGAGGAGACACACAGTTAGCTCGGTATGCTGCAACGGCAGTGACCAGGCTCATTCAGACTGGTTTCCCTCCACAGAATGTGCCTAGGCTGGCTGTACGAATATGACATCAGGCTGCCACATTTTGAAGGGCACAGACCAGCAGAAGCCTAGCAAGATCCACCAGACTATCCAGCGGCCCAGATTTACAAACGACGATATGAACCAGGTGCCTGGTACACAGTATGAACTAAGGAGCAGTAGCTACTTAACCAGCCCTATTTTCCGCGCTGACGACTATGACTGCGATACACGGCCAGGCATGAGGCACCATTATACATCCACATCATCATAGGCATCTTACATCTCATCCAGCTCGCGCGCAGGCAGTATAGCCCCACCGGCCACCTACCCAAACCAGGTTCACGAGCCTTCCGTCCCCATCGGTCCCCTCCCACGGTCCCCCACCGATCCCAGCGGTCCACCGACCGTGCTCACCTCCGCCGAGGTCCCGGATGTGGATGGTGTAGGCCAGGTGTTCCGCGTCGTCATCCACCGACCACGTGAGGCGCGCCGTGCGACTGGTGATCTCGGACACCTCGAGCTGACTGGGCGGATCCACCTGTTTCGAGGGCGACGCCGAGCCCGTGATCAGGTGCACCGCCACGGCTGTGTAGCCAGCCTTGCTGTACGCCACGCACTGGTAGATGCCCGAGTCGGCTGACTGCAGGTTGGCCACACTCAGCTTTCCGTCGTCGAGTCGCACGCGCCCGGTGGCGTCCGGCGTCAGTCGGTGGCCGTCCTTGATCCAGCTGAGGTTTGGCGGCGGCCAGCCGTCGGCTGTGCAGTGCATGCGCAGCATCCAGCCGCGCCGCAGCTCCTTGAGCGCCGGCAGCTCCGAGGTGATGACCGGCGGCACCAGCACCTCGACGGTGGTGCGTCGGCTCGCCTGGCCGGCCGCGTTGGTGGCCGTGCACGTGTAGGTGGCGGCGTCCGCCAGCTGCGCCGTGGTCAGGTTCAGGCTGCCGCCGCTGGTTACTGCGGAGGACGGCACCGGCAGACCTGGAGAGGAACGAGACCAGTCAGACTAACTCACACAGCACAGGCGTGTCGGTACTGACGAAATTCTGACATCAAAATATCCCCATCAGTCAGCGCGAAGCTATTCCGATCCATCACTTCCCCTGAGCAATATCACCAACAAACAAAATAAATCACAAGTTTGCACAATGCAGTGTGAATACACTCATCGACATAGTAACCACATCGGCTTCTCGCCCTCACCATCCAGCCCAACTCCCGACTCCCACTGACCAACCCCCGCCCCGCTCCCGCCAGGTCTCTCACCGTCATCACGTGTCCAGCGCACGCTGGGCAGCGGGTGTCCGTCGGCCACACAGGGCAGCACCAGACTGTAGTTGGCGCGCACCGCGCTGTGCTCGGGCGGTGGCAGGCCCATCAGCCGCGGCGCGCGAGACTCTGCCTCCGGGGCCGTCACCGTCAGCGTGCCCGAGTCGCTCCGACGCTGCCGACTCGCTATGTCGTTGTAGGCCACGCAGCTGCAGGGAGGACAGGGGTCGGTTAGTCATAGTCGTGGTGTGGGGCGGGCACGCAGTCCGCCGTTTGGGGTAGGCGAGTGACGTGGGTTAGCTTTTCAACATATTATACCAGCAATGCGCGCTGCAAATGCTCCCGTACATTCACAGCAGTCTGGCCAGCTTCCCCTATCCATAGTCCCCCCCCCCCCATTAACGGCTCTCAATAAATGTGGTGGCTGTTACAGCAGCTTGACGACTGCACTCTGCACTGGTGATCAGACAACTGACATCCCCAACACTATGGACCCAGCTTCCACCCTCCATGCCATCTCCATATATCTCCTACCTCATAGGCCTGCTCCCTCTGCGTCGCTGCACCCACCTGTACACCCCCGCGTCCTCGGCAGTGACGGGTCGGATGCTCAGCTGGCCGGCCACGTCTGCCGAGAGCCGCTCAGAGCTGTTGACGGGCAGCGGCTCTCCGTCTCTCATCCACTCGATACGTGCCGGCGGTACTGAGTCGATCACACAACGCAGGACGGCCACGCCGCCGGCCGGAGCGCTCTGGTCCGACGGCCACACGCTGAAGTTCCTTTTAATACCTGGAGATGGGAGAGGCGGCGGAGGGTCAGCAGAGGGGGCCAGGACGGGACGAGAGGGACAAAATGGACAGGGGAGGAGTGTATTATATCAGCACTTGCATGAAGGTGACAAGACCATGGGTCTGGAGAACTAACCAAGGAATTATGCAGGTAGCTACTTTATAATGCTTGCACCTTAACATTCGTACCCAGAATAGCTTCTTAACAGCTTCGGAGTTCAGGTAGCTCTCAACTCGACAAATAACTCGACTCGATCCCGTTTACACAAACCCGCATGTACTCACTGGCAATGGTCAGCTTGGCCGGCTGGGAGAGCATGGCGCCGGCGTCCGAGAGCACCTTGCACTGGTAGGTGCCGTCGTCGCCCTTGTTGCGTCGCACCTTGGTGATCACCAGCGCCCCGTCCTCGGCGCGCACGATCTTGCGGCGGTTGGTCTCCACCGGTTTGCCGGCGCGCAGCCACTGGATGGTCACGCCTGAGACGCTGACCTGGCAGGTCATCTCTGCGCGCGCACCGTTGGCCACCAGCTGACTGTGCGGCTCGCGCACAAAGTGCATGACGGTGCGGTTGGGCGCGGCCGGCGGCGGCGCCGTGGCCTGCGCCCGCCGGTGGGCCAGCGTCAGGTCGTCATCGTCCGTCAGCGGCGGGCCGGCTACCGGAGAGCGGGGCAGCGGTCAGTTCAGTTAGCCACTGCTGCCAGCGGCGGACCAGCCGCTGGACAATGAGCAGGACAATGATCGGCTCATTGAGCAGAATTACAGGCAAACTGTGATAACCTCAGTGAAACTTAACAGCAAGGATGCTATGCATAGAATGAAGATCAATGTTGACACTAGACAAATAAGCTTTCATTAATAAAAATTATGCATTCAAATCATTGAATTCCAGGAGAAATTAATCCCATGAAACCATTTGCCCAATGTTTGTCCAATTCGTCAGTGTCCATGCTTCAGAGTAAGCATTTTGAACATCACATCTATAACCTTCTGTCCTAACAAATAACCAGTATGGCCATCATGGCATGTCTGCATCAAAGGTCGCTCACCTGGTCGGCCAGGTAGGGATGTCCTCCCATCCCCTTGCCCTGGATCAAGCCCCTTCAATGTATCTGAGGTAGGTGGACTTTCTGTAAAAACAATAATAGCACAGTCAACATAAGATCACAATTACTGTAAAGCTACAATGGCAAAAAAGTCCAGACAAGTGGAACTTTGCCAAAACAAGCTAGCATGACACAATATGACAGCAACATGCAAAGTAACTTTCCTATTCAGGAGCCAGGCTCTAAAGTAAGATTGATGACTCATGTAAAATACCTCATTTATTTTAGAGCTATATCTGCTATCATTTTAAATTATATAGGTATTTCACAGGTTAAAGAAGGTAGCTCATTGGAGTCAAACTATGTAGGAAGCCTGTGCAGATAGAACAGTTAAAACCAATCTCTATGAAAAGTCTAGTTATATTGATATAGTGTGTTTCATCTCATTAAATGTTACATTAAAGTTTTTGGGTACCTATAACTAGTTCCTTGGAGGTCAGATTCGTATACAGTGTGTCCTTAAAGGTGTTTTAGGGGTGAAGAATAGTAATTGCATTTATATCACACTTCAGCAGAAAGGCTTCCAAACTGGTATGGCACCTAATCACTGATTCACTTATTCACTTTGAGTTTCATTTCCATTACATAAGCATGAAAAGCTGCCAGCAAAATTGTTTGAATGTGCTTACAAGTTTCAAAAGTATTCCATTGGATACCCTCTTTCAAGTACAACAGACTTTTCTCAAAGAGGAATAACAAAAATATGAATGGGCAAGAATACTGAAACAAGGAAATATCTTAATATAAATATGCCATCAAAAATATATTATGTTTGATTCTGGATGAATAAGATTCAATCATGGCATTAGCAAAAATACTTATTACCATATGCATCTGTGGAGTTTGGGTCAAATAAGCTACTTAATGTGTTGGTTCTTCGCTTCATTCTTGAATCAATTTTTCAAGTATGAATCAAGTAAAAAAAATGTTGCATCTAATGGTCATCTACATACAGCTTGAACCCAGTGACACCTATTATGTCCTAAATGATGTTAATGAAATATAACCTAGAAGACCACTTTTTTCCTTTCAAGGGAGCTTTTCACATGCAATGAGCATTCACACCAACACTGAATACCTTGGTATGGCGCTCCGAAACACTATAGGTACCTACATTTCTTCTTATTCAAAGACAATGATAGCATGTTAATGAAAATAATATAAAACAACATTGCAGAGGAACCTCTGAGTATTTTAACAGCACTTATTACATCTTACTTGTACATTTAGAATAGATAGGTATCTGCTTCACTTGCAAAGCCATGCATCACCTTGGCATCATTAAAAAAGGATAGGAATTTCTTGCCACAATGTTGTCGTGCTATATACAATTACTAAAAACAAAAAAGGCACAGCACACATTATGCTAAATGTTCTAAGCATACAATTTGATGATATGTAAGGACTTACTGCAAAATGTTGCAGGACACACCCATCCAAAAATAATCAAGTTTAAATGTAGATACATGAGCATTTTGATATCCAACCTGCACAACAACTTCCAGACATTTACAATTTCACATAAAACAATAGTTAACTACATCAAGGAGTGAGCATATAAGCGAAATGTGAATGTTGTTTACATGGCATGTGTTTCACACGAGCGAAACGAACTGAAACACGCACCGCACTATGCGACCCTGAGAAACGTAGTTAAATCGATGAAATACTCACCAAATGGTTGAATTGTGGTTTGTGAAACTGTTACTCCAAACACCAGGCAAAAATAAAGTAAAAAATTGGACGCCATATAACTGTCTGCAAGCATGAGTGTCGTCAGTGTCGTCCATTGAATAGATAGTTACGAATTCCGGGAATTGTAATTGACAATTACCACTCCATCACTATCCTGAAATCTTGCAAGTTGTGTATTTTTTCTTTATAAGATGCATATCTTTTACAAATGAAAATCCAAAAAATTAACATTTGTTATAGAAAAAATTGATTTTTAACAAAAAACTATCAACAATTTTTTTTTTATTCCCATCGGGCTTCACGCGTATCCACGCAGGCGAGAGATGTCGGGTGCGGGTGTTTTTCAATGCAATGATAGCTATATCCTTATAGGGTGAGATTCAGATGAGCTAGACGTGCGGACAATGTTATGATTCGTAAACAAGGCCCCTATCTCATCCCTGCGTAACACGCGCATCGATTTTCCGGCGCCTACGCAGCGTGCACTACGCAGTTAATGTTTCTGATTATCGCCACGAGGGGGCGCTCCTTTCAAATACTCCAAATAGAGCTGTGAACTCTACTACGTGAAACAAATGTGGCGCATCCGTTTAGTGGCGCAGTCATGCAATAATTTATTTGTTTTAATTGATAATTTGATAATATCTCGAGTGTCAAGTGTGCAAAAGCGTGTGATTGTGGACTATTTCATTCATATCGAGGACAAGCTAAGCGTTTAGTTCTGGATATCATTTTCAGCCGCATAATCAGGTAGAAATCGAACAACATTGACTATTATGTGTAGGAACCTCTAGCATTGTATTAGCGTTAATTATGTTTTTGCAGCTCATGGAAACTTGTTAAGTTTAAATTTGAATCCACCCATATAGGGAAATATATTAAAAACACCACTTGGCTGCAATTTGGGATGACAGTGGTTTTGGGAAGTAAATGAGAGACGTGTGGTTGCGATTACTTAGTTATGGTACTGCACAGTGCACAGGCCACAGTCATTTTGTTATTTCTTCATCTTGTGAGATGATTTGTAAAATCTCTTTCATATTGATAAATAGAATGATGATCAGTCAAATTTTATGAATAAACATGAATGTATTCAACAATAACACATTACGTTAATACGACTTGCAGCACAGCAACAGCATGGGCGCTAAATGACCACTGCGGTCGATATGCCATAAAGACCTAACAAACAAACAAGCAGAGTAACAGCTAGCAATCCAGGGCACTGTTTTGCTGCCATATTTTAATAGCAGGCTACCAGCCTGCTGTTGTTTCTTGGCTTCTCATTAATTTAATTTACATGGTATGTCCAATGAACCAATGAGAGGCCAAGAAATGTCAATAATGCATTTTTTTAATGGGAAAACCTGCAACATGCTGATAAAAATTATGACGGAGCAGTACCCAGGTCAAGACTATGATTGCCATTTGCCAACAATGTAAGAGAGTAGATTTGTCACCACTGGATTGATAGTTGGATATAAATAGTGAAGTCCAAATGGTGGTTACAGGCCCTGCAGCCCTGAAGCATTTCATAAAAATCATCAATTTTTGCCTGAAGTTTAAAGAAGCTATGTTCAGGTTGAAACAGAGGTTTTAGGGTGTGCAGTACAGTAATGGGAGAGCCCAGCTGCCCAACACTTTTCCATCATTACCAAACTGGATGGGAGCTATCTAAGTCATTTGTTTTGTAAGCTTGATCTGAGGCATGGAGCATTGGTGGCTGTGTTGGTTCATGAATGGCTGATATTACAGCCTCAGGGGTTCAAAATGTACTTCATTTATTTTGAAGTAAGGATAATGAGTTCAAATTGTGTGCCATTCTGACTGATGATCTGCAGCTTGATAAGAAATATTATTCAATGAGAGAGGAGCAGTTGTTGTTATTTTTTATCATTTTGAAAATAAGCTTCTCTACTTGACTGTGCTCAAAAGATGGAGTGAATGAGCGATCACATTTGTGGCATATTCTCGTAATGAATAACCTGACATTCATGTGAAGTCAAAGGTGATTAGTATGATTTTATTATTCTTCAATGATTTGAAAAAATGAAGATAATGATAAGTTTCGCATTCAAGTCAAAACTGATAAGCTGATTTACTGCTGTATATAGATAGATTAGACCTTAACATAATCTCAAGGAACCACTTGTAGCCAATAAGAAGGACTGAACAGCTTGTATCTTGAGCTATCTCTAACAGCAACTTAATATTGGAGTTATTGGCTCAGAGATCAGAATATGTAACCCAGTTTTACATATGTGCATAATGAGATGAACTGATAAGTCCATAGTAATTCTAGCAATGTAATCTGTAAATTATTGTTTCATCAAAATATATCTCAGTTATCTTCTACTCCTGTGTTATACCAGTGTTACATATGAATTTTATGTTCAGGGATTCATATGGTACCAAAGTGAAGGCTGCCATCCACTGTGACAGAATTCTGCGCGGGGTCGGCGCGGAGTCGGCCAGCAATCCCTCCGCGCAGGGACTACTAGCGCACCGAGCTCGCGGACACCGCGCTGACTAGCGCCCGGGAGTGTGGCAAATGTTAGAAACCTGCGACCTGTCCGTCCGTGTCCGGGGGTGAGGTCGGGGCCGGTAGTGTGTAGAGCTGACCCGTCTCTGTCCTCTGTCCAGGGGTGAGGTCGGAGCCGGCAGCTGTGAGGATCTGACCTATGACCCGTCTCTGTCCTCTGTCCAGGGGTGAGGTCGGAGCCGGCAGCCCGCCCGGCGGCTATGTGGTGGTGACCTGTGACCTGTGACCTGTCCTCTGTCCAGGGGTGAGGTCGGAGCCGGCAGTCCGCCCGGCGGCTATGTGGCGGTGACCGGGACGGCTGGGACCCGAGTGCGGCTGCGCCATGCCGCCGCCGCCGCCGCCGCCGCCGCCGGTCCGCCGGTGGCAGCAGTTTCCCGGACGGAACCGGTTCTTTTGCGACGGACGCATCATGATGGCACGCAAGATGGGCATCTTCTATTTCACCGTCACATTGATTGTCGGCACCACGACACTCTTCTTTGTGTTCGAGTGAGTTGACATTGCATTACTGATTTTTCTGAAGCGCGGTGATAAACAGTTTAGGCTAATTCAAACATTGCATGTAGGGTTTGGTAGGTAGGTAATCGTTTCCCTTTCACTTTCCCTTATAGATCAGTTTAGCGCTATTTCAGCTGAATTATTGGACCTATTATGCTTAATTGTGTCAGTGTTCCGCTGTTGTGGATGCAATAGCTCTGAGTTTCATTATTATTTCCCATCTCTCTGACTCTCTTCTGTCTCTCTGGGAACAGCCTGTCAGCTCCTTTATCAGTGTTCTGTGTCGCCGAACACTACTACATATTCGTTACCTAATTGTCTATCTAGCAGTGGCGCTCTGACCCTCTGCTGTCAGTCCAGATGTTCCCAGTTACACTGTCGTGCCGTTCTGACCGTCCGCTGTTCCTCCGGCAGCTGTCAGTCCCTCGTGGAGTGGATCACGCCGTTTGGCAGTGTGCTGTTGTTCAATTCATTTGTCTTTGTGTTGCACTACCTTGACGCTCCGCTGTTCCACCGGCAGCTGTCAGTCCCTCGGGTTCCACTGTCTTTGTGTTGCACCACTCTGACGCTCCGCTGTTCGTCCGGCAGCTGTCAGTTCCTGGCGGAGCGGATCACGCCCGTGATCCCGGTGGTGGGCGGTGTGCTGTTCGTCTTCGTCATGTCGGCACTGCTGCGGACCAGCTTCAGCGATCCGGGCGTCATCCCGCGCGCCACCGCCGACGAGGCGGCCGACATCGAGCGGCAAATCGGTCAGTGAAACTGTATTTGTCGGCAGTTTGTAGTTTGTTGTCAGTTGATGCCATGAATGAAATCGCGTGCCAGTGACTGGGGGCGAGTGTCGCCCATCCTAAGGCTGATGGTCTTTGATCGTCCGTTCTATGCCTGACGCCGTATGTGAACAGTGTAGCACTCAGTCCACGCGCCTAAACGCTCCATTTCTCCCGTTCTACTACTGTCTTACGTTCTGTGTCCTACTGTCCTACTGTCATACGTCCTATCTCTGGCAGCATGTGTCAGCTCACTCGTCACTCACTCCCCGCGTCTCCCGTTTCAGTGCCGAGTAACGCGAGCAACTCGCCGACGTACCGGCCGCCGCCGCGCACCAAGGAGGTCATGGTGCGTGGCCAGCCGGTCAAGCTCAAGTACTGTTTTACGTGTAAAATATTCCGGCCGCCGCGCGCGTCACACTGTAGTATCTGTGACAACTGCGTCGGTGAGTGATTTTGATACCGGCCCCACGCTTACCGGTGTCGGGCTTACCTAGGTGTGATAAATGGTGATTTCGGTGGCATTAGGCTGTCGGAAGCAAACAAACTGTGGTCACTGTAGTTGTCATGTCTGCCTCTTTGGAGTATGCTTTTGGCATTTTTTTTTCACGGAGTAGTGCTCCAATTCTTTGGGAAATTAACACATCAGCTCATTGGATACCGGCCTCTTACGTAACTTTCTGATATGCGATATTGCCTTTGCGGATTTCAATGATATGTTCTGTGTGTTCCACATTACTTTTTTATTTTAAAATAACCAGCACACTATCATTTTCCACATCAGTAAACTGAATCGTTATTTGAGACTCAAAGGGCATCAAAGGGCATGTTTTCAAGGATTGATGGATATGTTGGTATTTGTTCTGAATAGCCGCGATGTGTGTACACTCGGGGGCAGATTGATGTTCCACCGCTCCCTACCCATCGGGCTCCCATGGCTCAGCACTGGTTGCTGCCAGTGGCAGCACTGGCACTGGCAGGCAGTGCTGAGCAGTGCTGAGAGCGGGCAGCACTGGCAGCAGCCAGTGCTGAGCCATGGGAGCCCGATGGGTAGGGAGTGGTGGAACATCAATCTGCCCCCGAGTGTACCTGTTGTATGCCAAAGTGGCCCGATTGTAGAATGCCAAAGTGGCCCCGTCACAATCACTGTGTTTCGGCTCGTTCCAGATCGGTTCGACCACCATTGCCCGTGGGTGGGCAACTGTGTCGGCAAGAGAAACTACCGATACTTTTACATGTTCATCGTCTCGCTAGCTTTTCTCTGCGTATTCATACTTGCTTGTGTGGTGACTCATCTTATCCTGTGTAAGTCCAATGAGGAGCGAGTGGTGGTATGGGTTATTACGAGCGAGCGAGCGCAGCGAGCGAAGCGAAGTCTTTTCAATATAACGGAAAAATCGCAGTATCAGCGGCCCGGCCCGGCCCGGCCTGTAACGCTTTTGAGAGGCTTATATCTCAGCAACCGCAGGACCGATTGGCCTGCGGTCTTTTTTGCTGGGTAGCCCCATCCCTTCTACCCTGTAATTGACTACTTTTGACACATCTCAGTGACCGTCGTGGCACGTGCCACGTGAAAAGTCAAGGGTGTTCAAGCTGTTTTGCAAAAGTAGTGATTTTGAGAGGTTTATATCTCAGCAGCCGCTTGGGCGATTGTCTTGCGATAATTTTTGTAGGGTAGCTGCATCCCTTCTACCAAAGGTCGGATACTCTTGATCTATGTGAGTGACCCCCACTGCACGTGCCAAATACGAAAAGAAGAGGTGCCAAATTTGTTCCCATTTCAATAACTCGGTAATTACTGGGGCGATTTCGCTGAAACTTGGCATACAGGTAGGCACCCACCAGGCAATGCATTCCCATGTTTGCAGTTAGGGTGCTACTGCACGTGCGCACGTGCAGGGGGCGCCTCCAGATCTCGAGAACGGCTGGGCCGATTACGCTCAAATTTGGTACAAGGTTGGGGACCGGTTAGTAAGGTGCCGTGCAAAAGCCAGTTTTGACCCCGTTTGCACGTGCGCACGTGCAGAATGCCGCTTCCAGATCTCAGGAACGGCTGGGCCGATTGCGTTCAAATTTGGCACACCGCTAGCGACCGGTTAGAAGGGTGCTTTGCGCAATCCCCGTTGGAAGTACCCTCTTGCCCTTGCGCATGTGCAGGGCTCACTATCTCGCTCGCTCGTTCTTCGCCCAAAAGGCGTTTTACTGGTCGATAATACTGAATTGTTTGATTTAAACTTGCTTTGTACAATATCTCTAGGATATGCTGTGTCCGTACCGTAAACATATTTTAATCGTTCTCTTTCGTACTTCAATTCATTTTCTTAAGTTTTGAGTGACAGCATTTCTGTGAAGGAAGCTCACGTACTTCTTCCTGTTGCCAATGAAACACTAGCTGACCGGTTTATCTTGCTACGTTCCGTCCCGAGCCCGGCCTCACCGGCGAGCCTAAATTTAGCGTAACATCCTTCCTACTCTTTGCACAGTGACCAAAGACGATCGCCAATTCCTGGATGCTGTGAAAGAGTCACCGGCGAGTGTGATCGAGGCCGTGATATGTTTCTTCTCGATCTGGTCGATTCTGGGCCTGTCTGGCTTTCACACGTACCTGGTCTCCTCGAACCAGACAACCAACGAAGACGTGAGTAGCTAACGGCTATAGCGCGATAAATGGGACTAGAAGGGGGACGGATACGAAAGGGATGGCGTTGTGATCGTGGCGTGCAGAGTTGAGATAGTCGCAGGCCGACAACAAGGGTGGTAAAGCCATCGCGGATTGCTATCCTTGGTGGGTGGCGAACCCAAGATAAAGACAATAAAAAGAATCGACAAGGTCTGTCGTGATTTGCTATGTCACAGTGGCTATTCAATGTCTGTTTTCATTTAGTAATATAAGCGAGTAAGGCATAAGTTCATCAGATTCTATGCCAGGAGAAACTTGCTAGCCAAGTTCTATGAATGTCTCTCGGCGCGTGGGCGGACGCAGTCGAGTCGTTTATCGGCCGCACGCACTGTTTGCCGCGGCTATCGGCGGCCTTAGTGACGTCGCACCGCCGCGCGCGGTGTCGCCGTGAAGTGGGTCGCAGCCACCGCGCGCTCCGGTCAGCCGGAAACACCGTCATACCGACCAAGATAACTTTGCTAATCATTCCGACGGCACGGCGGGGGGGGGGGGGGTCAGGAGGCTGGGAGATGAATCAACATCTTCTCAACGCTGGCAGTCGGTATATTACAGGATGGATATCACTTCAGTAAAGTAGCGAATATTTTTTGTAAATGCAAACGTTAACGGTCTCACCGCTAATGGTCGGCATTTTTGCTAAATCCATTTAAGCGCTTGCTTTTAGCATGAGTTACGTTTATGGGGATGCATGGCGAACGTTATTTTTAGCAGAGCCGAATTCTCCCGTCTCCGCCACTGAATACGCGTGTGGTGCGTCCGATAACGTCAGTGCTGGTCGCTGGCTCAGCTGCAGTCTGCAGCTGTGGAGCGTGGGGGAGTTATGCGCGGCTGGCGGGGTCGATCTGCGCTCACCACTGGTACCCGCAGCTCGGGGACGGTGGCTTATTCATAACCAAGATACGGTGTCAGTAAATCGATGCGTCATGGGTTTCCTATAACTAGTGCAGGCGAACGGAGTATGCCTGTCGCGTGGCAATGTGCCCCGTCGGAGTGGAATGAATCGAACGGAAACATCGCTGTTGAAACACGATGATCAAAATGTTTATGAGCTGACCCAAGCGCTAGTCATGATTCTTTCTTTTTTCTCCCATTGCTGTTTTCATGAGTCATTCTGACGCATGAACTGGCATGTCAAGACTGATATGTCTACACGATGCGTAAAAACTATGATTTTTTTTTCAGATCAAAGGGTCATTCACGGGGAAGCGAAGTGAAGAGGCCTTCAATCCGTACGGACAGGGCAATGTTATCTCAAACTGCCTTGATGTCCTTTGCGGACCAACTTACCCTAGTTTAATAGGTAAGTGACGTAAGTCTAGATTTCCCTAAGGCTGACCGTTCCCTTCACTGGTTTGTGCAGCGTTCTGGGTTTATCAGACGTTGCCTGTCTTTCTCTTATGTCCGAATATGTCTGATCATCTGCCTCGTCTCTATGTCTGTGTGTCTCTCTGCCCGTCCATCTTTCTGTCAATTTACCACATCTGCGTGTGCTTGACAGAATATTGCTGTTTGTGTATATAATTATTTCTGTCTGTCTGTGCGCAAGTGTAGTGTCCGCGCGCGTCCGTTGAGGCTGCTCTTCTTTCTCTCTGTCCCCAGTGGGTCGTCACGTTCCAGTCAGTGTGTGACGCCCGATCTGTCTGTAAGAATGGCCTCCTCCCCTGAACCCGGGGAGGCGGGCTGGCTTGCTAAGAATGACCCGACCCTGCCGCACTGACCGCACACAGAGTGATCCCGCGCACACAGCCCGCACGCAGATACTGCCTCTTGTGCCAGCCTGACTTCAGATCCATAGTTACTGACGGCGTGGTGTGAAGCTGTGTGAAATACCGCGGCTGGATTACGTTTTTCGGGTGATTTGCGCCAATCCCAGTATTCAAATTTCCGAGAAAAAAAAAACGGTCTGCTTTGAAAATAGATAGCTGAGTTTTGAAACTGTGGACTGTGGAGTCTTGTTGGTTTGAAAAGTAGGTACGATTGTTTGTCTTTAACGCTAAAATCTCACGAAGAGCAAGAGCTCTAAAATTAAAGCTCGACGAAGGCAAAGGCTGTTTTCCATTGCTTTGCAGTCTGCACATATTGCATTTGTTTGATTTATAGGGTTGCTGAGCCCACGCTACTCTAAATCGCTGAGCCGTAAACCTCGACATACCCATCTCTACTCTGCCTTATCTCTAGTCTTAGCCCTTCTCAGGCTATTGTCTTACCTGCAAGCGTTCCATTGCTCCCTTTGGAAACATATTGTTCGGCGCCGTCGCGATGCCCGGTTAGCCAGGGGTTCTGGTTATAGCACCTTGCCTCTTAGCTGGGCTAACGCACGTAGCTTTATAGACTTTTTCCTCCAAGCATTTTTGCATCGCAACCTTTGTCCTCCTGTCAAATCAAAGCCCTTCCTAGTGGCCAACTTTTTCCCCTTTTTCAATATCATGCTTCTCTCTTTTTAGTTATTTTCTTTTTTCCTCAAAATTGCTTATTTGGAGCATAGCGACGTAAGGTTGAGGTACCGACCTTTTGCGATAGGGGTCGCGTGTCTAGTGTCTAACTCCTAGCTCAGAGAATTAGAGCGTCATTCTTCTTGCCTGAACTCCGATGGTGAGAGCCCGGTTTGATTTTCTTTGGCGCTCGCTACTTTCTCCAAACAGAGATAGCCTGTGGTTAGTAACAGTAGTCGTTTATAGGCAAAACGAAATCAGTGAGCAGAGTGGGCCTAGTCCGGCTAGTGGATTCGGAGGTATTTAACCTCTAAAAGTTGGTGCTGGTCGTGAGTTCCCAACCTGGAGGTAGAGGTCCTGCTCAACAGGACTCAACAAACTGCTTGGTGTGGAATGCTAAAGTATGGCTCGACATCTGAAGTGTTTCCTTTTCCTGTCGGGCTCTAGGTTTCCACCGTTCCGCATCCTCGTGCCTTTGAAATTATGTACACATATTCTCGACAGCGGCACACCATTGTTGAGCATAGCCACACGTTTGCGCTGATCAAGCGGAACTGGCTGACCCTATATAGCGGTACTTCTGTCCCCACTGAATTTTACCACACGCTGCCTATATCGCTGCCGTGATCATACCTGCCGCATCTCTAGTTTAAGCAAGTAATAGCCTTTGGCTCATTGTATAATAGACAAAAGAAATGGAAAAGAATATATATTCTTTTCCATTTCTTTTGTCTATTATACAATGAGCCAAAGGCTATTACTTGCTTATCTTTTAATAATAATGGGGCTCATTTTCAAAGAAACCCTCAACATCATTCAGCATTTCTAGTTTCTCAGATTCACTACTGATTGTCACCCGTGTGGCCGTGTTACTTACATCACGTCATGTCTACAGTACAGAACATGGTGCAATCTGAAACAGTTCTGAGTACCTCCCCGTCTGAGGCAGATTTTGTCGGTGCCTCCGACGTGTGACTAGAAAGTGCGTCCCGTGTCCCCGTCTGAGAAGTACTTCCCCGTGTCCCCATGTGGTACAGTGCCTCCCGTGTCCCCGTGTGAGACACTGCACCTCCCCGTCTGATGTAGTGCCCTCCCGCATTCCCCCTCTGAATAGCAGACGGGCGCGGTCTGGTACTGGTGGTACTTAGAACCCTCCCGTGTCGCCGCCTTACACCTGTTGTAATGTGTATCTCTGTGTAGCATCATTGTGTGTGTATGTGTGTGTGTGTGTGTGTGTGTCAGACCGGCGCGTCTGGCGCCGCTGGTACTCAATAAATACCCTCCCATGTCCCTCTCTGACCGCAGTCCCTCTCTGTGTGGTAGACCGGCGCGGTCTGGTGCCGGTGGCCACTCCGGAGGCGGACCCGGCCCCGGAGCAGCGCAGGCCCGGCGCGGCGACGGCAGCGGCCGACCCCCGCTCGGGCCGTTCCTATGGCGCCGTGCACAGCGCCCAGACCAAACCGACCGTGCCGACCAGCCAGGTGAGAGACCGAGGGTGAATAGAGAGGCTGGCTGATCTGAGGAAAGACAGAGACTCATGAGACACTAACGGTGTGTTGTTACAGGCACGATGGCTGTGTTTAGCGCACTGGCCGTTCCCTCCATGTGTCTGTATGTGTGGTAGTCGGTATGTGTGCTATAGATGTGTTCACTGTAGGCCGTTCGGTAGGCTTCAACTCGAACCACAGCAGGGTGTTGACTGTCCCTCGTAGCGTAGCACTGTGGCGGTCCGCAGATTGTAGGATACCTTTTGGTGCCCAGGTGAAAGACCACCTGTCGGTGTTGGGCTGTGACCTTCCCGAGACCACGGTAGTTCGATGTAGTTTGTGACTGCAGTGTAGTTAATGCGAATGACCTGTATTCCGTATATAACTATAGCACTGTTTGGACAGTGTGTGACAGTAATTCCTTCCCACTGTCTGTCCTCAGAGGTCATCCTCTTCCAGTCCTACGGGGTCACGGCGTGTCAAGTGCACCCCTCCGTCCACGGCTACCTTCTCACGGCCCAAATACCATCCTCTGAAGTAGCTGCTACCTTCTCACGGTCCAAATGCCATCCTCTGAAGAAGCCACCGCCTTCTCCCGGCCCAAATACCATCCCCTGAAGTAGCTGCTACCTTCTCCCGGCTGTAATATCAGCCTCTGATGTTGCCGTTTCCTTCTTACCTGCCCAATACGATTACCGTCGCCTCTTCCTGCTCGAAATATAATCCTCTGAATAAGCAATCACGTTTTTGTCGGTCCACAATGTGTCAACCCGTGAACAAGCCACAGCCGTTTTCAGACCTGATAATACTCCCGCAGAACTCGTCGCCTTTACCTGCCGAGCTACCGCTCTCTGAAGACCGACTGGGCAGTCAGTCTCCAGTCCCAAATGCGATATATCCAGTGCCAAATATCACTGTAAAGTCCCACTTAGTGTACCCTCCTCACTGTTTCCCGAGCGGAATGTTGATTGGTATCCCCAAATCTGGTGTTGGGTCCGTCACTAGTAGTTAGTAGTTAGTGTGCGCCCCGCGTCGTGTGTGTGGCGCCGTCGGGCTGGGCCGGGCTGACGAGCGCGCGCTGGTCAGGTGGTGCCTCTTCCCGCCATACCGAGCGTGCCCGCGCCCAGCGGCGACTTCTAGCGACGGGCGCCGGCGGCCGGCGCGTCTCAGGTAGGCACCGGCTGCTCCTCTGGAGACGGAGACTCCCCGTCGGGTCTGCGGCTGAGCGACTGCTGCATGGGATGAGGGAGTGTCAGGCTGCAGGGTAAATCCATTGTGTGTCACGGTCTGGCCAGAGCACTGGTGTTTGTACATACGTCATACTGTGTGCGTGTGTTTGAATGATGAGCAAGCAAAGCCGAGTGGACGCAGCGAATAAACCGAGAGCATGATGCACTTTCGACCGACATGACGGCTTCTGAAGCACAATTCTGAAGGCTCGCATCGTGTTGTCTGCATGGGCTTACGTTGACTATTGAGTTTTACTTTATTTTATTTGAATGGACTACCTCATGACATGGTGCTGGTATCCGTTGCTGGACAGTCAGCACTCTTCATTTTGCGTTTGGATATTGATATGCATCATGTGGTTTTGTGCTGGTTTTGTGATAAACAGTGTTGTGGAATAAGAGTAAGTTTTTCAGATGTCATTATAATGACACGTAATGCGTACTTGTGCCCGACATCTCAATAAAGTGAGCCGGGGTTTGAACAGTAATCCGCTCCGCGTGGAGAACTTGCCGCCCCGACGCGGTCGCACTTTGCGACCATCTGACCAGTATAAACCCCAGCTGGCGCTGTTACCCGGCCATCAGACCATGTCCGACGGGCAGTTACCTTGCAGAGGGGGAGGGAGCGGTCACTGTAATCTGTGCCCTACCACGGTGCGGGTGGCGGATAGAAGCTGCGGCTACATTTCACCTCAAATATAGTGAAAGGACCAGTGTTTATTTGGCGTCACTTGCATTTCGTATTTTTTCGTAAGTGCTGTGCAGCTTCCTCCTTGAAAATATTGCACCCGCTGTGTAAAATACCGCACTGTAGGCCACGACGTGAGATGAAAATAACGCGTCCTCGGATGAAGCTTCCTAACTCATTGTAGTTGACGTGCGAACTCTGCCCACCGCAGCTCAGTTCGTTCTGTTCATGACATCATCCGTCACGCCCGTCCACTATCCCGGGCGGTTCCCTGTGACCTCCGAACCCTGTGACCCTGACCTGTGACCTCTGACCTCTGACCTGTCCGGCAGAACGGGCACACGTCAGTCAGCGGCCGGTCGGCGGCCGCCTCGGGTCAGCCGGGCCACCGTCGGGCCGCCGCCGCTGCCGTCGCCATCGAGCGGCCACAACGTGAGTGATGTGGAGTGGGGGGATGGGGCTGCGTCGGAGAACTGTGAGGGACGTGGATTGGGATGGGGAGAGCCATGTGCGGCGAGGGCGGTGACTGGGAGAGGGGTTTACACTGGACGCTGGCTGGGATGGATGACGGGGAAATACCAGTATTATTACGAGTGATATGAGGCAAGGGAAGGGACAACTGGGGCAGGGTTTGGAACAGACAGGTATGTATTGTGAAAATAAGTGCAATTTATTTTAAACACAATGTGTAGCCAGACGCTCCGTGGGAAGTCTTAATTGGCGTTCGACTCATCCGACCAGTTGCAGTTACTTCAGTTTCATCTCAAGTGTTCAGCAAGGTGTCCATTGTTCAGTGTCATGTATGCGCCCTCTGACGGTTGACGTTTGTCTCTCATCTGACCAGTCCTCCGTCCCCCGCCAGGCGGCGGCGGCGGCGCGGCGATGGACACGGCCGACCTGGACCTGGACAGTCTGGACGGCTCCGAGACGCTGAGCCACGAGAGCCGCGGCCAGACCACCGACAGTGAGGCGCGCTCCAACGTGGCGCTCATCCGACTGGCCCACAGCGCCGTCTGACCGACCGACCGGCGCCCGGCGGGGGACGGACGGTTTTCTAATGTGTTGTGATGTGACGAAAGAGACATGCCGGTGAATCGTCCCGTAACCAATCGACGTGCTGATATTGCTGAACGACGCCGGCGATATATACTATTTTATAATCGACAATTAATACATGGTAATGTGCCGCAGTGTGAAACGGTTGTTTTGTAACGGTATAGCAGAACAAACTCCAGCATTGTGTGTGACTTTATTCAACGGTTTGACGCTGCCCAGTGCTCGCGCACACACGCACACAACCCGCGCTCGGTTCGCTCCGACAAAATAACGTTGAGCCGGGTACAGTGAAACAAAGCGCTAACCCTGGCGCCGCCAAGCATTCATTCGCGTCCATACTATCCCGCAAGCCGTAAACAGAGCTCAATATGTAAATTCGATCAACAAGACAGACAACAAATTTCAGGCATTTTCGGCCGGCGTGGAAAAACCAAAACGGTGGCAGTGAGATGACACCTGTAGAAAATCATGCGGTCGTTGCCGGAGTCCGGTATAAAACGCGCCCGGCCGGCTGGCCGTGCATCCAGTTTCGGTCTGTGCGCTCTTGGTCAGTCGAGTGGCTAAGATATCACCGGAATAGCGGTCAGCTAACCTTTGTACTCGAGTCCAGACCGCACCGTCACTCACTCACTCGCTGCAACTCACACTCCATCCGTGCCGCTCTCGGCTTCACTCACGCCTAACTCGCATCTCCAACAGACCGCGCGGCCAGTGATCGCACCCTCAGCCGCGGGCCGCTGCCGTAGGGCCGCTCGGGCCCCTGCGCCGAGACGCCGACCCAAACCTAACCGCGCATCAGAAGTAGCCCGCTACTTCTGACAATAAAGTCGATCATTCTATCGAATTCAAAATCATTCGACACTCTCATCAAATGATGTTGAATTCGAAGGTGGCGCCGTCACGAGCGCCGGCCGTCGGCGGTCCTACCGGCGCGCGGCGTACGGGCTGTGCCGGTACGGGTGGTAGAGCTGTGTCTGCACCGGCTGGTTATAATTGCCGCCGCGCTGCGGGCCCGGCGGCCCGGCCGGCTGCCCGCCGTAGTTGACCACGTCGCCGCCCGGCATGCCCGCCGCGTACCCGGGACCGTAGTTTTGCATCGGAGCGCCTGCAATAGACGCACACACGTCAGACGCAGTCAACGATCGGTAGACAGTTGGATACTGTGCGTGCCAGCCCCGCATTAATGAGTGATGTAGCAACAGGGCAAAGTTGCTGTGAGGGCACTAAGCTAAACCAGTATGCAAAGACAGTGCGATGGTTTTGAAACAAGTCACGTCTTATGAAAATCATGAAAACGCATAGGTTCGCAGTCATCCTGAAAAGAATCGCCTAAGGCTTCCAAGAAAAACCATTGCATAGCTTCACCGACACGTCCGTATCGAAACCGAGCTACCATAACTGGAGAGAATCGTTCTCGGAAGATATTGACTGCAGTTATAATGTAATGTATAATGTATTATAATTATAATGTATGTAAACACTAAGCACTAAGCTAAAATGCAACCGTAAGCGTTAAAATGTAACTGAGTGGCGCTGGGTGCGAGCACTGACCGGCTGGCGGCGCCATCTCCTGGTGCTGCGGCGGCCGGGGTCCACCGTACTCCGCCGGCGGCGGCGCGTAGCCCGCGCTGATGCCGTACTGCTGCTGCCAGCCGGCGTACTCGGCCGGCTTCTGGGCGGCCATGACGGGCGCCGGAGGCATCGGCGGGCCGCCGCCGCCCAGCATCCTCCCGTACGGGTCGGCGCCGGGCATGGGCGACGGGCCGCCCGACGGCGGCAGGTGTTGCGGCTGCGGCGGCCCCTGCGGCTGTGGCGCCCACTGCTGCGGCGCCGCCGTCTGCGCCGGGAACTGCTGGTACTGCGGCGGCGCCGGTGGCTGCCCGTAGGCGGCGTAGGCGGCCGGTGGCGGCGCCGGCGCCCAGCCGGCCGGGTAGCCGGGCTGTGGCGGTCCGGGCGCCGGCGGCCCGAACGCCTGCTGGGGGAACGGCTGCTGCTGCTGGCCCCACTGCACCACCGGCGGCATCGGCGCCACGCCGCCACCACCGGCCAGCTGCTGCTGCTCGGCACACGACAGAGGGACAGCCGTCAGAGGAGGCACAGCCACAAAGAGACAACACAGCACTAGAGGTGGCAAACTGTGGACCCGAGGACCCGGTCCAAAGAACCAGTCTGGACCCATATGGGTCCAGACCGGTTCCTGGAAATTTTCTGACGGGTCCAACTGGGTCCTACCATAAACTATACATCTTGCACATTACACATTATTGCAAAATGTGAAGTGAATGTTTCTTTACACACAGTAGCTCATGAGTATTCCCAGTGGGAAAAAGGCTGTTTTACATGATGCAACTAATTATACCTACAAGTTATTTGTGATAATTGACTTTTGGGGAACGGGTCCAAATGGTTCCGATTCCAACTTAGACCGGGTCCAACTGGTTCCAGAAATGTCCAGTCGGGTCTGGTTCGAGTCTGGTTCCCAAAATTTTCATCTTTTGCCACCTCTACACAGCACACAGAGAGACGACTGTCAGAGGAGACACGGGGCACGCAGACAGCCGTCAGAGGAGACACCCAACATCCATATTTCACATTAATCAGAACTCAGTGTGGCTGCACTGTGTAAATTGTAAGGTCAAGGTGGCTCACTAGCATATAAAATAGCCAAGCACGCCACTCCTGTCAAAATGAACGAAATGGGTATCACAAATGAATTACAAACTCCCGCCTATAGCAGAATACCCCACCAAATGTGAAAGAAAAGACAATGCCAACAAGCGTTCAGTATCCATAGACTACATTCCTCGCGTTCAGTGAGTCGGGTCGGCTGGGTACGTACCGGTACGCCGGGCATGCCCCAGTGGGCGGTGGCCGGGTCCTGGGGCGGCCTCCAGCCGTCTGTAGGCGCCATCTGCATCGGCTGTCCGTCGACTGGCTTACTGGCCTCGCGCGGTTCAGCCCGCTTCACCTCCACCTGGCGCAGAGCGGGTGTTAGAGACCGGGAACTGACGGAGAGTGTATCCACACACACACACATAGATGGACACACAGACAGAGGCGGCGCGGTCCAGCCCGGACCGCGAGCCTCCACTCGCTCACACGCACACAAACACGCACACGCATACACACAAAACCACATCGATCAGAGCGCGACGCTCACACGCAGGTAAAGAGGGTCTGAGACAAAAGGAACAAACCGCAAATTAGGAGCCGTGTCCTTATACTAGAGAGCGACTGACCTGAATTGATACTTCCTCTGGCGCGACGCTGTAAAATGCCACACCTTAACTAGCTTAAAACTAGCTTAATTAGACTTATCACTAAGTCGCAACCTTATGAAACTAGAATGAGAGCCATCCAGTACGAAACTAAGCTAAGCTACAAGCCGGTAAGCGGGGAGTTGAGTGGACACACTGGGCACACCAGAATGGTGAGCGGGGAGACAGACAGATAGTGGTTAGGATCCTTATGTTAAATACCTGTTTGCCGCATATGGTGACGAAGTGTTTGGCTAACACCCTCTCCACTGCGTCCTCGAGCTCGAACGACAGAAAACCAAATCCTACGAGAATGGGACCGTGAGTCGGCGGCCGCTGCGCGCAGCACAGGCCCTGGCGGCGGCGGCGGGCGCGGGGCCGGGGCGGGCCGGTGGGGGAGGCCGCCCTGCCCGCCCCGGCCGCGCACCCGCCCACACACACTCACGGGGCGGCGGCGACCGGCCGCGCACCCCACCCACACACCAACCGCGGACCGCGACCCGCGCTTAACTAACACTCTATGGCTAGCCTTAACGCTAAGACTTAGCCTAGTCGGTTATCTAGTCTGGTCGTAGCATTAAAAGAACCGAAATGCCTCGATAAGCTGTAGTTCATCCAAGCTGAGATCTATGTGATTGACGTGAATCAGATTATTATCGTAAGGCGTGAAGGGTACAATTAAGTAGCAAAAGACAAAGAAAAACAAAGACAAATAAAGTTTTTTGCAAGAACATTTCACCCCAGATTAAAATAGCATTACTTTCGGAACTACTTTTGCAGATGGTTTCGTGATAGTAACGCGATTATGAGGCACCCAGAAACTTTGTTTCTGGGTAATTGGGTGAAATGTATGTTAAATACATTCATATTTTCATAGTACGGCCCACTTATTGAGGCATTTCAGTACGGAAGCCACACTGAAATAGTGCCATGCTATGCCTTAATTTATGAACCTTAATTGAAGAAAGAGGAGAACCCTTAAATAATCGGGCACTTATTCTATGTTTCTCTTAATAAGTAACAATTAGAGCAATAAAAAATGGCCGGCTTGCCGAGCTAACAAAAGCAGCACACACTGAAAACAAAACCATCACACGACGTTTAGTACAAAACCACACCATGCGGATGTGAACTATGGCCTAACAAGAAATGGAAATACGTATTCAGAAAGACTAGCAACGCCCAATACTTACCAACACCTTTTTAATCAAACAGTGCAATCAACATTAGGGCAGTAGCTGGGCATACGGTGACAGGCACATGACAGAAACCAAACGGTCATCACCAAAAAGACGGACCACCTAGCATCACAGACATGAGACAGACAGACGGACAGACCAGCTATCTCACCAGACAACTAAGTCACAGACAGGGCAGCTGACCAGACAGCATACACGGACCACACCTCACACAAAGGGTAGCACTCAAATGAAAAGTAAACGTGATTGATCTTCGTAGAAGATGGAAGGCAATAATAATCGATTAACCTTGTTTGGCATTTCAGCCTAAGAACGTGGCTAATGGCGAGCATTGTGTTGAGCAATGTTAGAGAGGTATGGGGTCTGAGCCATGAAGCCTGTGTTTCGCTCGCCGGCACAAATTAAATCATAGAGGTTTAACATATGACAGACAGACGGCGACTTCGTTCTTCGAAATTCAGTGCAGCACTCAGTCTCTCGTCAGACGCCAGCTTCTCAGAACTGTATGGGTCGAAAAGCCGTGCGCTGTTCAGTCTACCAACTCTGTAGGACAGTGCAGAAACTCGGCAACTGAGTCAACAAACACATTCACTTTGATCTCCTGGGTCAGGGATTGTTTGGAAGCCTAAAGATCCATACATGTCGCCTATGTAAGCGCACTAAAGCAGCTCGGTAACTACAGACCA